AAACTTTTTGACTCGAGGGCCACAATGGGTTCTTAAACTGGACCGGAGGCCGGAAACAAAAGCATGGATGGAGTGTTTGTGTGAACTAATATAAATTCAAAGTAAACATCATTACATAAAAGGGTACGGTCTTTTTTTTTTTTAGTTTTATTCATTTCAAACGGGCCGGATCTGGCCCGTGGCCTGTAGTTTGCCCACAGCTGGCCTAGAGCTTATGCATGAGTAGAAAATCTGAGAGTTAGTTTACTGGTTTACTTGGTTGTGAAAGTTTTATTATGAGCCCTTTGCCTAATTCGGTGAATCTGATTAAGAACTATAACCAGAGTGGAGAGAAGCACACCCCGGCAATTTGGCATAGCTCATCTGAGAGTTGAACATTCTTCAGTGATCTTGAGGCAGCTGTCAGTTTATCAGGGGAAGATTTGTCATGAACATGTTCCTTGGACTTTATTCAGAGAATCAGCTTCCGCATAACAGACCAACTTTGTTGAGTTAGCTCCCACCAGTCGTCCTCGGTGCTCTGACTGCCCTGTTAGGTGCTGGGATTCTGTGAGTCTGTGGCATTCTAGTTTAAAACGGAAGTAGACATTCTAAGTGCTATGCTCTAAGGAACTAGTGAGGGCTTTGCAAGTGCAAACAGTGGTTCTGATTCTAGGGCTGCCTGCACTCAAGCAAAGATGAAACAGAAAGCCTTAGTAGATAGGCTGTAGGTTTCTGTAAACTGTTTGTAATTCATATTTACTAAATTGGCAACCAATAAGACTGACTCCCAAAGATCTCTGTAGCTTCTACCTACTTCCCATTGGCAGCAGCCATCTGCCACCAATCATCTGTTATCACTCTCTTCTCTCTCCCCTACTCCCCCCAACCGCCCTTGGCTTCTTCTTGCAGGATTCAAGCACCAAAGTGCCCAGGTCTCTGATAACATATTGAGGTCTCTGTAAGTGCCTAGGAAAATGAAAGCAAGGTTTTGGCTGGTTTCTCAAACTACATGTCTAGCATGAGTGAAGCTTAAAGGTAATGATACATGATTCAGCTTTTCCCACAGAGTCTATGAGTTAGCCAATTCCATTGAACTCTCATTTGTACAGCATCAATCACTATGCTTTATTCAGCTGATGGGCAGCAGCACATAATGGAAATAGCTCGGGCCAAAAAGATCCAGTTCTGCCCCTTGATCACTTTGTGGCCTGGGGCCATATATTATCCTTTCTGGCGATCCTTAATTTGCTCCTCTGAAAAATGAGAATTGTATCTTCAACGGGGTGCCAGGAAGATTAAGTAAGAAAACTTACACTATACACCTAAATAAGATCATTGCAAACATTAGCTGCTGTTGTTATTGATTATGAAGCATTTGTAAAAACACAACAAAACCTTCCTTCTGCTGTTGAAAGTTGACGTTAGGACTAAATGAAATAATGTTTACGGACGTGCCCAGCAGTTTATGGTTAATGAAGGTTTTTTCCCTCTTTCTCTCTGACTTCCTTCTGATGACTTCACTTATGTCCCTAAATTCTTCCCAATATAAAGTTCAAAACTATTTAGGAAATAGCAAAGTAGGTAAAATTTTTAACCTAATATCCTGACTAGAGTGACATAAACATATGGGTGTAGTTAAAACAGCAATACGCTGTTTATTATAAGAAATGATAAATATACTTGGAATTATAGAATTTATTAATTAAAGAGGACTAGAGAGTTGTGAAGGCTAGAAAAAGTCTAAAGAGATGGCCATATTCCCAAGAGCTAACCCAGGAGCTAGTCGGCAGTCAAGTGGACACTATCCTAGATATGATTGTATTAAATCTAGTAATACTTATAATTGAGAATATCACATGTTAGTCATTCAAGGAAGACAAAGTTAAAACATCTTATAGAATTGGAAAATTCAGGGCTAATCATATAAATCTTTTGTCATGTATATTTCCTGTTGGGCATTAAATCTTTTCTTCCCTTTTGATGCATAACTGAGGGTACTTTTGGAAAGAAGAAAGATACCAAATATTAGCTTCCCTGGTTTTTCTCCTGTTAAGTGTGGAGCTTAGATGCTGTGATGGCTTTGCCAGCAATAAATAATCCTGGTTTATTTCATGCTTTCCTTGATTCGCTTAGTCAACAAATATTTCATGAGCATTTACTCTCTGTCAGACAGAGTAAATAAAAAGAATCATCAATCTCAGGTTGCTTTCACACTTGTGAGAGGAGAAAAATACTAAATAAGTAAGTAACTAAATGATTGAGTGCATTAGCTTGTGATGAGAGCTATAGAGAACACTAAAGGGAGAAGGGGGTGGTTCCACTTTTACGTAGACTTGTGTGAAGAGAGACTCTGATTAGGAAACATTTGAGCAAAGAGCTCAGGGAACTGAGAGGCTGACTCTTGGGGATGTCTGTGAAGAATATTCAGGCACAAGCAAATAGCCTGGGCCAAGAGCTGCCCCAAAAGCTTGCTTGGTATACTCAAGGACCAGCAAGGTGGCCATTGTGACTGACAGAGAAGTGAGGCTCGTGAGTAGCAGGCGTCCAGGTGGTGTAGGACCTTGTAGGCCTTTGTGACAGTTTTGTCTTTGCCACGAGTGAGATCTGAAGCCACTGGAGGGTTTTGAGCAAAGGAGTCATGACTTGATCTGGCTTTGTTTTAAAGAGAAGAGAGATCATCAAGGAATGCCCATTTGGGGGCACTTTCCAATTTAAGGTTACAATAACTCTGTAAGAGACAGCAAGACCTTAATTGAAGTCAGGATTGAAGTCCAGACCTGTGACCCTAAAGGCTAAGTTCTTTTCTCCCACCCAGTGCACAGTGAAAATGTGTTATAACTAAAGAGAATATTTTTACACTCGATGTGTGAAGTACACAAGAGTATTCAGTCATTTAACTAAGACTCTAAAGAGAAATATAATTTTGTTTCTTCTCTAAATTCGAGTAACACAGCTCATTTTTCATGCCATTGTTCCTATCTGTCCAGATTTCTTTTAGAAGCAGGTTTTCACATTTTGTGCTCTACTATGTACTACAACGGAATTCATTTGTCTCACACTAATCGGTCCTTTTAAAGAGTTTCACAGATGGAGTAGAGTGTCTTTGGCTTAAGGCATTTTTAATTATCCATTCTCCCCCTCTAGCCTGTCATAGAGATTCAGTAATGCTGGCAGCAAACTGTGGCCCATTTATTTGAAGTACCCTCATATTCTCTTCTAAGGAACTTGCCACATTAATTCGATTCGTACATGTGTATTTGAAGAAGGCTCTTAAGAACTTTGCTATCCCTGCAGATGAAGCCTAAACAATTCACGACTAAAGAGGGGACTGTGATATTTCAGCTGAAAATACGATATAGCTTGTCATGTTATTTCCTCAAGGCTTTCATTATTACCGAATAATGTGGGCCGTTTGGCATTATCTTGAGGATTCTGTTGAGGGAGAGCCCTAGATGATAACACTTTAAAATTGCTATTAAGTGATTACTTCTATCTCACATTTTCATTACAAGTCACCTTGTTAAATTTTTATGTAAAACAATAAACACAGATCACCAGCCTGCCCGAGGACTCCAGAGCCCCAGGGAGCCATGTGGGGCTGCAACAGAGGCAGGGAGGCCTTGGGGACATCAAGGCACAGCTTAGGTCTCCCAGTTAGTACACCTAAGGAGTAAGGATTGAGGTCCAAGAGGATTAAAGCTATCGTGCATATCTGAGAAGAAAAAGAGTTTTCAATATCTCTTGAAATATTTTTAATCAATTTCCCTAGATGTGTCCCAATAGGGAAGCATCTAATTAGCTGTAATTTTTTAATCCTTTTTGTTGAATTTACTGGGGTGATTCTGGTTAACAAAATTATCCAGGTTTCAGGTGCACAATTCCATAACACATCAGAAAACAGATATGAGATTATAAAAGAATTCCTTTAGACCCAGGATATTTAATATACGATTAGAATTACTAACGTTCAGAGTACAGCCTCTTTTCAGGAGCCCATCATTGCCAGGAAGGTAGGAATACTGTTGTGGAACACGTTCTCAAAAGGTTTTGAAATCAATAACCGTACTCTATTGTTATTAAAATGATAGCGCTAAATCATTCCTTTCCTCTGCTCCAAAATATGTAATAGGTCTAACTTATCTCTAGATACCAGAATTTATTTCCTTTCTATTACTAAATCCTTGAGAAAAGGCCATCTTGGAGGGAAAAATAAAGCTTATGTTTGAAAAAAATTATTTTTTTAATCTCTTAAAAAACATCTTGCTACACTTTTCTTCTCCTCCTTGTAACTGGAATAAAGGGCAAACTGGGAGGTTAAAAAAGAATAGAAGTAGATACTTTTACAACTTGTGAAGTGTTTGTGGACAGGACTAAAGAGACAGAACATTAAGGCCCATATGATCCTACCTTTGCCACACTCACTTGCAGTAAAATTGGAGAAGGTAGGTTTCTACTGTTTTGATTGAAGGAGAAAAACTATCAAGTATACTCAAGCATATTAAATGAGATGAGAGTCAAGTATATTTCCCTTCTAATTCAAGTGGGCACAAAATTATTTGGGAATCCAGTGAAATTAAAATTCATCTGATCTAATGCAATGAGACTAGACAATAGTTGTGAGCCTGGATGTTAAACCCAGCTCCAGCAAGGATTTATTGTGTGATTCAGGTGGTGGTTGGGTGTCACTTCAGTGCTGCATGCACCTGTTAATTTGGGATTGAGAATGAACTCGGTGTATTAACAATATAGTCATTTTCTGACTTCCTTCCGCCTTTCTTTAAGGTCCAGTTGAAAAGTGAAGAATCCAAAACCTTTGCAATGAAGATTCTCAAGAAACGCCACATTGTGGATACAAGACAACAGGAGCACATTCGCTCCGAGAAGCAGATCATGCAGGGGGCTCACTCCGACTTCATAGTGAGGTGAGGATCCTGCCCCAGGGACTACAGCCCCAACTCCAAGTGCAAATCAACCGCAAAACCCCTGCCACTTACACGCACCACCACACATTTCATTCACACACACAATCATTTTAAGAAAGATTTTGCAAAGAAGTTGACTATCTTTTTTTTCCCCCCAAGAGAATCAGATTCTGGGAAAAGAACATGCTTTTCCCAAAGGGAAAATCAGAGTGTCTAACATTTCTTTTTTATCCTCTCTGTTACTCCAAAACTCTGCATAGACTTCTGGTGCTCGAAAGACAAAATATCAGACTATTTTATCTTTAAGTATCTGAGCATTTTAAATATTTTCTAAAAATGCAATGACTACTCAACCAACGCACTAATAAGAGAATAATGGGGAGTTTCTTTAAATGCAGAAGCTTTTCTAATTAATTTGCCTGTGGCATTTGCTGAAAACAGATTACAACATGAATATATTAAGGGAACAGCACACAAATTTCATACGTTATATTTGTAAAACATAACCTACTTTACAGCTATGTTCACTGCATATTTATAACCACTAACTATTGCTCAAGAGTCCATGCTTGAAACATCAACCAGATTGTAATTAGAGGAATACCAAGAAGGCCTCTGTGTCCATAATGACTGGGATTAATACATTTCAGAGGAGAGACTAGCCCCCGACAGTGTGTGAGTCTTAGGAGCCATTACCTCCTGTTCCTCATTTGCAAATTCAGATCTCTCTCATCTTTTTAATAAAATTTCAAGCTTGGCAAAGCAAGAATAAGACTGTAATCATGGCACTCAAAACATTTACATGCTTCTCAAAGGCAATAATGTTTGTAACCTTTGTTTTCTTGTTTGCAATTCACAGACTATACAGAACATTTAAGGACAGCAAATATTTGTATATGTTGATGGAAGCTTGCCTAGGTGGAGAGCTGTGGACCATTCTCAGGGATAGGTAGGAGCTTTAAGAAATTTCTATCATGTCTTTGACAATGTAGTTGACTATGATGGTCTAAAAAGAGTCGATTATTATGAAGTATAAAAGTCATATTTACATTTTACATGTGCTTATCTTTCAAAAGGTAATGTAAATATGGAGCACAACCTACCACACACATATAATTTACTATAAATATGAAACTCACTGTTTCAGATTTATAACTAATAATATATGATTAGACCACAACCACAATAAGAATGGCACCTACTCGCCCTAGCCGGTTTGGCTCCGTGGATAGATTGTCGGCCTGCGGACTGAAGGGTCCTAGATTCAATTCCGGTCAAGGGCAAGTGCCTGGGTTGCCAAATTGATCTCCAGTAGGGGTCCTGCAGGAGACAGCGATCAATGATTCTCTCTTATCATTGATGTTTCTATCTCTCTCTCTCCCTTCCTCTCTGAAATCAATAAAGATATATTTAAAAAAAGAATGGCACCTAGTGAGGTATGTATAAAGAAAGTTGTATGTATCAGACAACTATATACCTAGAATTTAACTCATTGCTTGTAGCATGAGGAGAAAGAGCAACTGTACAGTCGCAACCTGGATTCTCACTCTCAGTTTTTTGCTCCATTCCTTCTCCAGATGGGCTGTCTATCTTTCCTGACACTGGGAATTTTTGCCAAAGTAACTTTTTCCTCTAACTTTACATTACTCCTTGGTTTCAAAATTAATAAAAGTTTCCAGCCATCCCTTTCAGGCCTTAGCTGGTCTTAGGAAAAAGAAAATCAATCCATTTATAAGCAGTATTTCATGTACACAATCTAATTTAGAGTTACTTCTTTTTGTCCTTTCAGGGAAAGTAAAGTTGGTCTAGTTGGTGCTTATTTGTTTCTTTTAATTATGCAAAATTAATTTTCCATCTCATATTTGGATAATTAGCAAACAGTCTCCTTTAAAAATACATTCTATAAAATGTCTCAGGAGATTATTACCAACCCTAAATGTTTATTTAAAAGAAAGACCACAATTTTTTTCCTATAAATGATCGTTTCATCATTTTCTATTTATGATCTAATAACATTTAAAACTCATCCTTGTTCCTTTCAACATTCAGCTTTAGACATTTTTTTCTCTTTGTTATAGTCTCATCTCTCCCACTCTTTCTGAAACCATAGCCTTGATGTTCCCAGAATGCCACCTTATTTTTTGACAACTTGTTACTTTGTAGATATCCCAGAATAGAACAAGTGGTTCTTTGCAAGATACTGATTTAAAGTCTCATTCCTAATTGTATTATGGTATCTAACTTAAGGTAAATACAAGCATACAAGAGAATATATTGTGTTGGCATTGAGGATTGAGGTCCAAGAGAATTAAAGCTATGGTGTGGCACCCTCCTGTTGTAGTGGTTTTGATTGCGGTTGACGTATCACTGGGGAAGTGATTCTCAGGCTGACTGTGAGGATTGGCCATTACTGCAGAGGACAGGCTGTGGTGCAGGAGCTGACCCCATGGAGCAAGAGGTGTCTGAGGGAGGCTCCGGTGCCAGCCTGGTCTACACTTTGGGTTTGTCATTTGTGGAGCTGGTGAGGCGGAGCTCTGGTGTGTTCTGAAGCTGGCCACCAGGGGCAGGGGTTCTGGAGGTTCTCCAGAGCAGGCCAAAGTCAGCTGCTGCTTGTGCCCAGCCTGAGGCCACCCAGTGGAAGCTGCAAAGTGATCTATGCTTGGTTGCTGCTGGTGCTCGGCTTGGAGGCACCTGGGGAAAGCTATGCTGTGAACCGAGGTTGGTTGCCACTAGTACCAGGTTTAACACCCTGTGGTGGGCACCACAGTGTGGGCAGAGGCCAGCCATCATTGTGCTGGGTTTATGGCCACTTAGTTGAAGCTGTGCTCTCGGCCCACAGTGGCTGCAGCTTACACCAGGCTTGGAGCCACCTGATGGGAGTTAAAATGCAAAGTGAGACTGGTCACCTCCTGTGCCAGGTTTGAGAGCACTTAGCAAGAAATAAAGGGCACAGAGTTTGGCTGCTGCTTGTCGGGGTTTGTGGGCCTTTGGGAGGTTTTAGGAAAATCCGTAGCCTGAGTTGGAACAGGCCCCTTGTGTGGGGGAGCCGCTGGAAGAGGTTCAGCTGGACAAGTGAGTTGGGTGTGGCAGAGTCTCAGGGTGAGGAGAATGATATAATCCAGGTGAATGCAGATTTGGCACTTGCCTGTGCCTACCAGCGCTTCAGTCTCCAGAGACAGCTGCCCCAACCCTTACTCCTCCAGCCTTCACCCTGAAGCCAGTTAACTCAGTTCCTACCCATATGTGCCTGTCACTATTTGGGCTGCTGCCTCTGCACTGAAGCCCAAAACTAGTGAGTTTGTGAGTGAGCAAATCCATGCTCAGCCCCTAGAGAGGAATGCCTGGGACTCCAGTGGTCCTCAGTCTCACTCAGAATGCAATCACCACTAGTTTTCATCGCCTTATGTAATGGGGACTCCTCTTGCTGACACTGGTGTCCTGGGCGGGGAGCTGGGTATGGGGCTGGCTCCATACCTCCTCAGAGGGGACCTCCACAGCCAAGATGTCCCTCTTGATTCTTCACTGTCACACCTGGGTATGGGACCTGCTCTTTCCTATACCTGCCACTCCCGGCCTTGTCACAGCTTCCTCTTTATACCCTTAGTTATAGGGCTTGTGTTCAGCTAGACTTCAGGTGGTTCTATAATTTAGTTGTAATTTTGCTGTGGTCATGGGAAGAGGTGAGCACATTTCCCTACTCCCTCTCTTGACCGGAAGCCCTATGGAGGGTGATTATTTATATTCCATCTCAAATGATCTAATAATAGATGGTACCAAGTGAAAGTACTTCAAGGAAGTGAGTCTGTTTTTATAAGAATTTACCTCCACCTCCAAAACTTTAAATCGGCAGGAAACCTGCACAGGTTGTGAAATACTTCATGTTTATACACTCATTAATGATGCTGTTACCAGTCAGTGAAAGGAGGGAATTTACCTTTGGGCAAAAGATGCTTTGTCTTTGTTATATTCAGCCATTTCTAGATTCAGTTTATGACAGATAGATTGCACATTATGATTAAATTTTAATATGTCTCTATCAATATGTATACTTAACCATCTAATTCTCTCAGTAAAATCGTTGTTATATACTGCCACCTAGCTAAAATAGCAACCCATTCTCTAAAAGGTATAAGAACCTACTCCTTACTTGTTTTAATTAAAATGACACAAATCAAAGCATAATTTATCATTTCAAAAAGCTATGAGGCAGTGATTTGTTTCTTTAAGCCACTTTCTAAGTGTTGATAAAACAAGTTGTCATTTCTGTTTTAGCTCAAATTTACATTGTCATTTCCAATTCCAATAGCAATTTTTCATTGTTTCACCCTAATATAATGCTTTGTGACTGCTTTCTAAAAGAGTATTTTAAAATTCTCAAATTGCCTACATAAAAATTTAGTGATGAAACCATGTTGCTGATACATATTTTGTGTCCATATATTGTTGATTTGTCATATAGCATGGAAACATATTTGAGACAAGGTTTTCATTTGATTTTTAAAATCAGTTACAAATGTATTTATACATGGGAGGTTCTCAATATAGATCTGATCAACGAATGGAAACCAGCTTTCTAGAAGCCTTCCAAATTCCAAATGCCTCAGTAGAAGAGAAATCATGAAACAATAAACAGGGCCACCAAGAACTGAAGGCTGAAATGATTTGTGGTCATTTCACTTCCTGATGAAAAAAAAGGGAGAGTTTTGATTGGCAGGCAATAAAAGGGTAATTTCTCCATACATCTGGGAGAAGCATAGAAAAAGTAAAAAGAACAGACATTAGCATTAGACTCTTCAAAGCTGACTTGTGGGAGTTAGTTAGCCCTTGTAGCAAGAAGCAGCAAATACTCAAGAACAGTGATAATTGGTGTTGTAAACTCCCCATCTAATGACTTTAGACCTGTTCTGTATCAGTCAATTTTCCTATACTAAGACAGTGGCTAAAGAAGAGATTTTTTGGTGCTCAATTTTAATGGCTATTACATATTATTAGCAGTATGCCAGTACTTATTTTAAATATATGCATTGATTCTTGTATGCTCATGATATCCCAATGAGGTAGTTTCTATTATGAGTCTAATTTTTCAGAGGAAATACTGAGACCCTGAAAGGTACAGTTAGTTTGCACAGTAAGTGAAACCCAGATTTGAGCTCAGGATTCTTGCTTTAGATTTCATATTCCTAACATAGAGCCTTCTCTGATGACTTTGAGTTATTTTAAGATTTTTTTATCTTCCTGCTAATGAGCAGCTTATTCAGAATATAAATATAAATATCTTTCAGTAGAGCTTTCATGAGAAATTGATCACTCACATAAGGGTTTATACTCTGCTTGCAACGTTAACATTGCATTTGTCCATTTGGTTCCATTAACAACTGAGTAGTAAGAAAAGCAGAGATATGTTGCCCAAAGTCACAGCTCCAGAAATCATCTCTTCTAAGAGTAATCAAGAATTTTTAAGCTTTTCAAAAGGCCCACCCAAACTATATTTAGACATTCCTGATACAAGAAAGTAATCAATTTTCTTATTAAAACTAATGTAAAATAGGGCAAGGCTCTATTTCATGTATGCCTTGTTTTGTTTTGCTTGGGCTTTGCTTTTGCTTTGTAATGCTCTCCATTGAGGAGAATTGAAGTCTTATACAGCACTCAACTAGTTAAAGTTCTGTGCTAATGATCTATTATTTATTACATATAGGTTAGTAATGACCTATTATGGCTGCTGACTATTTAATGCAAGTAATCTCTTCAGTTGCAAGGAATATACTGCTCAATAAACAAACCCACATAATTAAGCACAAAGAAGAAAGGACCTTAAAGGCACTACTTTAACCCCTTTCCCAATACACAGGATTATATAGCGTTAACTTGGCAAAGATAGCTCCACCTCAGAAGACTGTTGCAGCATAAAGTATGTTATTCATTTCCTAATATAGATGCAAATCTTTTTAAACTTTTTCTTGTCCTTATAATTCACAGTTGTTCAGATATTGTTGAAGAGACACACTGAAATCTTAGTAATCATAGTTAAGATTCTAGTTAAGAAAAGAAAAGATAGCATCATGCTTCAAATTGTATTTCAAAAAAAAGATTTCTTTGGGGAAGAGCTAATTATTTAAGTGACAACTCAGGGGATATTACGGGTTGAAGTAAAGAATACCTTTCTGAAAGACTGTTTATTTTTTGAAAAATGACCTGATGGTGGCTGCGTTAGCCTTGGATTCACTGATTTATTGTGGTAGACATTACTTCTCAGGATTGAAAACGAAGCAAATGTCATCAAAATGCAAACTGGCCTCAGTGACGCTTGTGAAAGCCCAGTCTGGGGCCCCGCTTGTTGCTCACCACCTAAAACTGCCTGAGAAAAGCCTCAACTTACATCTTAGCCCCCTCAAGAGCTGATGTTCACACTAATGTTCTGGAATTATCATGAAATGATTAAATTGCGTTTACTGCTGGGAAAAGAGAAAAAAAATCATAGTGGGTCTTCTTAAGGAATTCCACTTAAAAATAAAGTATAAGGTTCTGGCCTAGAACCTAGGAGTTAACTTTAAATCCCAAGGCTTTTCCCTTTGTTATTATTTCATTAGATAAATACATGAGAGAGGCGGAGACAAAGAGAGCTTTCCTGCCCATCATCATCATCAAGTTTACTAATAAACTTTCCCATCCAATTACCTTCTTCCTTCTAATTATCTTTGGCACGAGCCCCAGGTTGTCTTCCTCATAAGAATGCAGCAGTTGTAGAAATGGGTGTTGTTTGTCTTGCTGACATCAGTTGCAAACACAGAGTACTCGCTTGTGATATCATTGCATCGGAAGCCTCACAACTCATTTCCAAAGTGGTCCTTGAAAATATTAACTTCTAAGCACATTCTCATGAATCATACCTATATTATTTAGAAGCCCTGCATGAATAAATATGACTGAACTCTAAAACTCTCCTTTAAAAAACGCCTGTTGGTAGATAAGCTCTAAAATAAGATTTGTCTCTCTTCTGCCCACAACTGTCACTGGGCTACTGGGAGAAAGCCACCAAGTACATGAAACGTGGTGTTTGAACTCTTCTTTAATGTTTTCAGGAAGTTAGATTAAACTATCCTATTCATAAGGGCAAAGAATTCCTTGACTTAATATTTAAATGCCTTTGAAAACCCAAAGCCATGGCAATCAGATGCCATTTGGCCAGTAGGATTTGGTCTCTGGGGTCAAATTTTGGTACAGGAATATAGTGAAATGAGAAATAAGACCTTATGAAAGAAATGAATTTCTTATATACTTTTCTACCCATATTCTGTGTCTCAGAGGTTCATTTGAAGATTCTACAACCAGATTTTACACAGCATGTGTGGTAGAAGCTTTTGCCTATCTGCATTCCAAAGGAATCATCTATAGGGACCTCAAGCCAGAAAATCTCATCCTGGATCACCGAGGTTACGCCAAACTGGTCAGTGTACTTCCCACATTCTCTGCCCTGAAGTTTTAAAATATTGGTTTATAAAGCGGTGTTCACTTGCTAACATAAAATCTCATTTTTTCATTTTATGTATTATAACTTTTCTTAAAAGCAGATTTTAGTGTTACTATTTTCAAGCAACTATTCTTTAAAGTTATGAGGAATTAAATTGGCTAGGTTTGAATTAATAACATCCTGGCAAAACATGCTGACGTGGACTCATGCTTGCTGGCATGTGTTCCTAGACCTAGAAGAGCTAGAAGTTTTTTCTAGCTGGCTTTCTGCATCCAAAGTAAATTGGGTTTTATATTATGGAAAATTATTAATCATTTTAATATTTTAGATTTGAGAATAATGCAAATGGAAAAAATGGGCTTTGCAGACAATTTCCAGACCATGTTAATAACAATAGCAGTAGTAATAAAAATATTTTTAAATGTAGTCAAGAACTCTAAAGACCTAGTGTAGAAGGGAAGTTCTAATTTATTTATATGTTTTTAAATGCATGACTTTTGAAGGCTTTGATTCTTGTCTGTACCAGTTTCAATATTTTAACTTTGAAACTTTTTATTCAGTGTAAGATTTTCAAAGAAATCAAATAAATGGCAATTAATTACGTGTAGTCTCAACCAAATTGTTTAGAAAAAAATAGATTTTCTGCATTTAAGTTTCCTTCAAATGGTTTTTAGAAAAATAAAAGAAACATCTTAATTTTTATATCTGTGTTTACCAAGAGCAGTCATTGGTCCCATAACTTTGTTATTAGCTTCTTCAACAGTAAAGTGTCTTCTTAATTAATATTAATGAATTCTCAATTTCACTAAATGCAGCAGAAATCATGTATATGCTGGAAAATATGTCAAGTAGGTCCAACTAGTGTTTTTAAACATTTTGAGTAAATGAGAAATTATTTATCTGTACCCAACAGCCATTGGCGTAAACAAGAAAAAAATGGAAAGTATTTCTAGAAAAAAAATTTTTTTTTTACTGTTAATGATGTGAATTTTATCCTCTACTCAAATTTCAACTTACCCCATTGAAACCAAGTTTGATCAGGCAGTCTTTGTTTGGAATATAGATGACTCCTTTTAGAAGACAGGACTATAACGTATCTGTTTTTATTTTTTTATTATTATTGTCATCAGTGTCCTTCATTAAAGTGATTTCTTGCCTTTAAACTTAATCAAAAGGGGCTTGAGATACCTTGTTTTTCTCTCTGTAAGGTGGATTTTGGCTTTGCAAAGAAAATAGGATTTGGAAAGAAAACATGGACTTTTTGCGGGACTCCAGAGTATGTAGCCCCAGAGATCATCCTGAACAAAGGCCATGACATTTCAGCCGACTACTGGTCACTGGGAATTCTAATGTATGAACTTCTGACTGGCAGGTATGGACATTGATAGAGAACTGCTGGTGAAAATAGACCAGAAAACAGCTACACATGCCTGCCTTAGTCACTCTCATTAGACCATGTTAAAGTGCTTTTCACCATATCTTCTTACTACAAATAGTTATGCTCATAGAGGAAAGAGTCTCATTATTGCCAATTCTTTATATGTATGGGAATATGGAACGATCTAGTATCTTTCTGTAAGATCTTTGAGCTTAGTCATTTAGCCAACAATGCAGCAAGGTAAGTTATAGTTATATAAAAACTATCCAGGGTCAACTATTTATATAAATAAAAGAATCTGTTAGGAATTTTTATATTTAAATGAAATTTGAATGCTTTGCAAGTTTTTTATGTAATAATGCTATAGTCGTAAACAACTAAAAAGGGTGCTATGGATACTAGCAGGTATAAAACAGACTATAAACTTCTTGAGGAAAAGAAAAATACCACCAAGCCATGCACTCAGGAAAATGAGAATAGGATCATTATAATCTATAGAGTTCAGAAGGCTGGTTTCAAAGAAGAAAAGATTGCAGCTAGGCCTTAGAGTAAGAATGCAGAGAGCAAGCAATGGAAATGGGCATTTCTGGAAGTGAGACATGACAAATAGAGAAACAGTAGTGAGAAAATTCAGGAACATGGTGAAAATTGACCAGAAAACATCTACTGTTTTAATATTTTAAAATAAAAAAATATTATTTTTTATTTAAAAAATAACGGGAAATCAATTAATCACCTTTCAAGAATCCTAATTGCTATACTTGAACTCCATCCAGAGAGAAAATCATTGAGTATTTTCTGACAAAGGAGTGGTATACATTGTCATATTTAAGAAAAAACAGCTAGCAGAAATGTGTAGGGCAAATTGAAAGATGGATGGGGAGGCTAGTTAGAAGACCATTTCAATAATTTAGATATAGGAAGCTGAGAGCCCAGGATAAGATAGGGAGAGTGAAAAGAAATGGATGAGAATGAAGTAGGATGTGAAAAAATTAGTTAAGATAACTTAGTCGCTACAGTAAATATGAGAGGAAGACTAAAGATCTTTAGACTCATTGCTCTTAGGATTCAATGAATGTATGAAGCACTTAGAAGAGTGTCTAGAGCAGCGATTCTCAGCCTGTGGGTGGCGACCCCTTTGGGGTCGGCTAAGACCAATCGGAAAACACATATATAATTACATATTATTTTTGTGATTAATCACTATGCTTTAATTATGTTCAATTTGTAACAATGAAATTGGGGGTCACCACAACATGAGGAACTGTATTAAAGGGTCGCGGCATTAGGAAGGTTGAGAACCACTGGTCTAGAGCATAGTAGCCATTAGGATTTATGGAGTGCTTCCTATCATTTCCCGGAATAGTTATGCTGTGCTTTTAATTTTATTTGTAGGCACTTTAAATTATTGCTCTTGAAACTTCTAATTTGATTTTAAATAAAGAAAATTAGGTTAGGTTACAGATAATTTAATTTTTGTTATTGACAGAAAGGTAAACTGTTTTGGATATGTGACAAATTAAGTAGAAGCATAAATACATATAAGATTTGGACAATAGAGGGGTTGAATTTAATATACATACATGTGTATAGGTGGATAAATAACCTTTCTGGTGTTCTTTGAATTGCTATAAAAATCAATTATATCATGAATAGAAGAAAACTCTATTAACTACCACACAGTGAAATTAAAAAGTCTACATACTTAAAAAGCACTTTTCTAAATAACCACAGGGTCATAGGAATTATGGAATAGAAAAACAATAATAAAAATACAGCAATCAAAAAAAAATACAGCAATCTGTGTGGTATGGCCAAAGCTGAACTTAATTTATTACCATAAATACTTATATCATTATCATAAAAAATATTTATGAGGCTAGCATAATCCTAATTTCAAAACCATATAAAGACACTAAAAAGAAAGAGAATTATAGGGCAATATCCCTAATTAACATAGATAATAAAATCCTCAATGAAATATTATCAAATCAGTTCTGGCAATATATTAAAATGATCATATACCATGATCAAGTGGGATTTATTCCAGGGGTGCAAGGCTATAATATTCACAAATCAATAAACATGATACATCACATAAATTGAAAGACAAAAATCACATGATCAGATCAATAGACACAGAAAAAGTATTTGGCAAAATTCAAAACCTATTTTGGATAAAAACTCTCAGCAAAGTGGAGCAGAAAGATCATACTCAACATAATAAAAGCCATATGTGACAAACCTACAGCCAATATCATATTCAATAGGTAAAACCTAAAACCATTTCCTCTAATACCAGGAACAATACAGGGATGTCCGCTTTCACCACTCTTATTCAACATAGTACTGGAAGTCCTAGCCACGGTGATCAGAAAAGAAGAAATAAAGGCATCCAAATTGGAAAGGAGGAAGTAAAACTCTCATTATTCACAGATGACATGATATTGTACATAGAAAACCTTAAAGACTCCACCAAAAAAAAAAAAAACTACTAGATTTAATAAATGAATTCAGCACTGTAGCAGGATACAAAATTAACACCCCAAAATCAATGGCATTTTTATACACCAATAATGAATTCTCAGAAAAAGAAACTAAAAAAATCCCATTTATCATTGCAACAAAGATATTAAGATACTTAGGAGTAAACTTAACCAAGGTGATAAACACCTGTACTTGTAAAACTACAGGATGTTGAAAAAAGAGATAGAGGAAGACATATCATGTTCATGGATTGGTAAAATCAACATCATTAAAATGTCCACACTACCCAATGCAATCCCTATTAAAATACCATCAGCATATTTTAGAGATCTAGGACAAATACTCTAAAAATTTGTATGGAACCAAGAAAGACCCCAGAAAGCCACAGCAATCTTCAGAAGAACAAAGTTAGAGGGATCACAATACCAGATACCAAGTTATACTACAAAGCCACTATAAGCAAAAAACCTGGTACTGGCACAAGAACAGGCATATAGACCAATGGAACGGGGCAGAGAAGCCAGAAATCGACCCAAACCATTACACTCAATTAATATTTGACAATGGAGGCAAGAGCATACAATGGAGTCAAGACAGTCTCTTTAATAAATGGTGTTGGGAAAATTGGACAGATACATGCAAAAAAAAAAATAAAACTAGACCACCAACTTATACCATACACAAAATAAACTCAAAATGGTTAAAGGACTTAAATATAAGTCAAGAAACTATAAAAATCTTAGAAGAAAACAGGCAGAAAAATCCCAGACAGCTCTCATAGCAATATGGTTGCTAATACATCTCTTAGAGCAAGGGAAACAAAGGAGAAAATAAACAAATGGGACTATATCAAAATAAAAATCTTCTGCACAGTAAAAGGAAACCATCAACAAAATGGAAAGGGAGCCCACGGTATGGAAGAACATATTTGGCAATGATACATCTAATAAGGTGTTAATATCCAAAATATGTAATGAACTCATACAACTTAACTAAAGGAAAACAAACAATCCAATTTAAAAATGTCCAAAGAACCTAAATAGACACTTTTCTAAAGTGGATATACAGAAGGCCAAGAGACATATGAAAAAAATGGTCAAAGTCACTAATCATATGAGAGATGCGAATCAAAATGACAATGAGGAATCACCTCACATCTGTCAGAATGGCTATCATCAACAAATGACAAGTGCTGGTGAGGATATGGAGAAAAGGGAACCCCAGTACACTGCTGGTGAGAATGCAGATTGCTGCAGCCATTGTGGAAAACAGTATGGAGTTTCCTCAAAAAAACTAAATATGGAACTTCCATTTGACCCAGTGATCCCACTTCTAGGAATATATCCTAAAAAACCTGAAACATCAATCAGAAAGAATGCATGCACCCCTATGTTCATAGCAGTGCAACTTACAATAACTAAGATCTAGAAACTGCCCACGTGCCCATCAGTAGATGAATGGATTAAAAAACTGTGGTACATTTATACTGTGGAATATTATGCAGCAGTAAAAAAGAAGAATCTCTTACCCTTTGAGACTGCATGGAGGGACCTAGAGAGTATTATGCTAAGTGAAATAAGCCAGTCAAAGGAAGATAAGTATCCCATGATATCACTTATATGTGGAATCTAAAGAAAAAAATAAACTGATGAACAAAATAGATTCAGAGACATAGAAACATGGAACAGACTGATGAATCTAAGAGGGAAGGCGGGGATGGGTGGGTGGGAAGAAATTAACCAAATAAGTTATATACATAACTCATGGACACAGACAATAGTGTGGTGAAGGTATGGGTGGGCTAGAAGGGTTCAATGGGAAAAAAAGGGTACATATGTATAACTTTCAACAGTAAAGATACAAAATACAACTACCCTATGATACAGCGATTTCACTTCTGCATATTTATCTGGGTGTGAATGGTTACTAGGTATTATGCTGACAAACCTTGGACTATGAGGATGGCCCCAAAGTGATATGGTCCTGCCTGTCATATCTAATGACTTCTGGTTGGAATAAAATTTGGAAATAATAGATGGATCTTAAAAAAGCAAGGCATGTTAATATATAGATCAGTTAACCACTACAGAATGGTAGAGGAACTAAAGTGCAGGCAATCTCTCACAGATATGCCAATAAAGTGTACCAGAGCAAATAATAGGAGAATGGCAGTAACTACAAGATTTCAGAGAACAGGGTAGAGCTTTCTATGAGCCATGTAACCTCCTGAACACCAAGAATTGAGAACAAGTAAAGTAAATGATCCAGTGAGAGATTTTCTAAGGCAACAAATCCTAATAAAGTAGGCTAAATTTCCCCCTTTGCTCCCTTCCTTCTATCCTTGCTTATTCTGTTCAGAGTAGCTAGCTCCATTTAACATTCATAATCAGAAAGGTCCCAACAGGACCCATTCTCTATCCCTCTCACAACTACAGCCCCCTTCTACACACACCAGTTCCTTTCTTAGCTACTGGTTTTGTTCAAGTATTCACAGTCTGACCCGGAAAGATTAATTTATCTCCAGTTTTAGGTTTAGATTTAGTTCACATCTATTCCAGTCACAGAGAAAGGAGAGGAACAACAGGCAAACTTGACACATTTGTGGTCTTGCTAAGCAGCTTACTGAGAAAGGTTTCTATTGTCTTTCCAATGTAAGCCCAAAAATAAAAATAAGAATCGACGTCCTTTATGAAGTTATAACAATTTATGTTTTCTTATTTAGAAAATAAAAGTATCTTTTTATGTCTTCCATTCCTGCAGCCCACCTTTCTCAGGCCCAGATCCTATGAAAACCTATAACATCATATTGAGGGGGATTGACATGATAGAATTTCCAAAGAAGATTGCCAAAAATGCTGCTAATTTAATTAAAAAACTATGCAGGTAAGCATTTCAACCACATTAATTTTGAAAGGCCGGTAATGTGAAAAAAATAGATTTCTTACCACAATTATTTTTTTTTAGGGACAATCCATCAGAAAGACTAGGGAATTTGAAAAATGGAGTGAAAGACATTCAAAAGCACAAGTAAGTATTCTCTTCTTGTAATTTAAGTTTAAAAAACCTGACAAGTACTTCCCCAGTCTGTTTTTTATTTTGTTTTTTAAGTTAGTGGTTGTATAACTTATATAGTTAGCCAGAGGAAATGTATATTTTAATTCAAGGATTCCATTTCCTACCAAAATACTTAAAAAAAGTCTTCCATCATATCATGCCCATATTTCCTTGATTAAAAACAAAATATTTTTCCAACCAGTTCCTAATTCGATAATAAGATAAAGAAAAACAAGTACAAAATATAGTCTTTAAAAAAGTAGAGTATCTTAAATATCAGACCTTATGCATGGTGCTGGATGTTCTAGAGTTAACCTCAGACAAACCTGTTTTTTTTTTCTCTATTCATCTGTTTCTATAATACTTACAGGAAATTCACATCCCTACCAGAGTAACTTATATACTGCAATATCTGTGAATATCTAAAAGGTCTGCTAAGAGTTTGGTGTAAGCATTTGCTAATGGAGAACTTTTTCAAAAAGACAAAAAACACAACAACAACCAACAACAACCAATCTAACAAACAAAAAAAAACCCCTTTGTGTTATTTGGTCCACATTTTCACAGAAAAGCTGTCCACAAAATATCTTCACTGTGTTAAAAAAGAAAAAAAGAAGAAAATGAGATGAGAAAGGTTAATTAACTGAGGCTCCCTAATGAATCAGTGACAAAGATGGAAAGATAATGTTCTGTCCTGACTTTTCATGCCTGATTCTGCTTGCTTAAAATAAAATATTCAGTAAGACACAGGGCCAAACATGTTATGACATTTTTAAAGTTATAATGATAGTATAGGAACAAGGTCGTACAGACATTATGACTGAAATTACTAGAATAAAAAGGAGTTGCTTTTTAATTGGTGTTAAAAGAGTTGACATTTCAATTTCTTGAAAGATGCATTCCACAAAATAAGCTAATTTTTTAAAATCTGCAATTAAATGGAAAACATTGTTGTCACCTTGAAGATGTTTCCCTAATCACTTTCCATCAGTCATGGCCATCATATATGTTGCATTGAGAAGGTTTTAACTGAGGTAAAATGCTTTTAACTCTTACTTTTTTCCTTTCCTAGATGGTTTGAGGGCTTTAATTGGGAAGGCTTAAGAAAAGGCACCTTAACACCTCCTATAATACCAAGTGTAAGTAGACCTTCCAGTTTGACTGTGTTTGTCCACATGAAGGCATTTGTCTGTCATCAAAAATCTATTTTATATTTCATCTGATTATAACATAAAACTGTAAAGATAACAGAAGTACCACATTAAAATAATTACATCTAAAACCCAAGCTTAAAAACAGATAAGCTGGGAGATGGTTATTATATATGTATTTTAACATTACCTTTTTTGACTATATTCATTCTCATTTAAGTTTATTTCATTTGTGAATAAAAGCTGACTTTTAGTATGGTAAGTGTTAAATATATACTGGCATAGACAGAAGAGTATACTGAATCTCCAGCAACCAGGTGTGTTTTTTTTTTCCATTACAAACTCTATACATCATTACCCAAGAATAAGGATACATTATTCAACAACTTTAATGAATTTGTCATATTCATGAATTATTACTAGAAACATGTATACTTTATATTTCTTCACGTATGTTCAGTATACAGTATATTATGTGAGTATACTTGGGTGAGTTAGGATAATGTATGTTATTTTTTATTTATGAATCCTGTTTACTCTCTACCGTTGTCTCCAATAGTATACCAGCGGTTCTCAACCTGTGGGTCGCGACCCCTTTGGCGGTCGAACGACCCTTTCACAGGGGTCTCCTAAGACCATCCTGCATATCAGATATTTACATTACGATTCATAACAGTAGCAACATTACAGTTATGAAGTAGCAACGAAAATAATTTTATGGTTGGGTCACAACATGAGGAAATGTATTTAAAGGGCCAGAAGGTTGAGAACCACTGGTACCCATAAGAGCAACATCAAAGCATTCCTTTACCCCCTGGTTTCTGGTAGGGTATGGTCAGCAGACCAGCAACAATTTTCAACAGCTATGGATTCCTGGCCAAAATGTTTCATTTATGCCCCCACATAGTTCCTCCTCCCTTGTTCCTGTCTTCAAACTGTATTAAAAAGCCACAATATTCAAAACAATATGGTATTGGCAGAAAAATAGACACACAAAAATGGAAGAGAATTGAGAGCCCAGAAATAAAGCCACACATATATGGGCGGCTAATTTCTCATAAAATGTCCAAAACACAATAAAGAAAGCCTCTTCAATAAATGCCGTTTGGAAAATTGGAAAGCCACATGCAAAAGACTGAAACTAGACTGCTATCTGGCACCATATACAAAAGTTCATCATTCAAAATGGGTTAAAGATTAGAGTATAAGACCTAAAACAATAAAATACATAGAAGAAAATGTTGATTCTAAACTATGGATCTGGGTCTCAAAGGGGTTTTTGTGAACTTGACCCCAAAATCAAGGGAAGTAAATGTGAAAATAAATGGATGGGACTACATCAAATTAAAAATTTCTGCACAGCAAAAGGAACCATCAACAGAAAAGGCAACCAATTAAATGAGGGTAACATTTGCAAATGTTACTTTTGATAAGGTTCTTCTATCCAAAACAAAGAACTCATTCAACTCAACAACAACAACAAAAATCCTAACCAATTAAAAAGTAGGCAGAGGACCTGAACAGACACTTTCCCAGGAAGACATCCATATGGCCAACAGGTACATCAAGAGATGCTCAACTCCACTAGCTATGAGGGAAATGCAAATGCAAACCAATCATTCGAATGGTTGTTATCAACAAGACAAGAAAAAACAAGTGTTGGAGAGGATGTGGAAAAAAGAGAACCCTGGTGCATTGCTGGTGGGAATGTAGATTGGTGCAGCCTCTATGGAAAACAGTATGGATGTTCCTAAAAAAAATTACGAATAGACCAATTATAATACCTAGCAATCCCTCTTCTGGATATCTACCCCCAAAATTTTGAAAACACTTAATTCATAAAGGTATTTGTACTCCTATATTTATTGCATCATTATTCACAATAGTCAAGGAAAGGAAACAATCTATGTGTCCTCCAATGGATGATTGGATAAAGAAGATGTTTACATATATACAATGGAATAGTACCCAGCCATAAAAAGATGAAATTCTGCCCCCATATTACTTTGAGCCACTATCAGACACAACTGTGTTCTTTTTTTCTTTTATCAGACTCTAGGGGAGAAAAAAGAATTCTCTTCTTAAACACTCTTTTGTTAAATAGCCAGTCCACTAAGGAGACTAAGGAGTTGAAATAGGTTTTAATGGATCACATTATATTTTTCATTCAATGCTGCATCTTAACTAAGGGGAGTGGGGAGCTTTGTGGTCCTGAGCCCTTCATATGTATGTCCTTCGTTTTGGACTTACTCAAGACTGCTCTTTAGACAGAAACATATCCCTACTTCTAAAGATTCATTTCTATGTTAATGTTTATGTTTATTTACAAACAAAAGGAAAATGGCATTACCATGTCTCGCATTACAAATGCTAATTGCATTCATGAAGTTTTGTTTTTAGAACAAGAGAATGAGAAACTTGAAGGAATAAATATTAAGCCTATACTATCCCAAACTAAATTTATCAGGGGTCTCCATTTATGTAGTGGTAATATTAAATGGGTACATTTGTATCTGTATTAGAATATGAGGGAAAACAAGTGTGCCTCTTCACTACTTTTACCAATGCTCTACAGATTGAACTGTGCCCAGTAAATTTGCAAGAGTTTTGCTTGAGTTTAGAAATGGCTCATTATTCTACATGGAATAAATATACAAAATCCTTAAGATGGCCTACAAGGCTCTATATAACCTGACTCCTCCCCATTGACCTATTTCTCACCCCACTCCCCTCTCTCTTAGCAGCCAAGGTAGCCTCTCTTGGTTACTTCAGCATGGAGTGCTCTCTCACCTCAGGACCTTTGCATGTGCTATACTCTTGATCGAACTCATTGATTTGTAGGTTTAAAAGAATACTTTTTCAAAGAGGCTTTCCATGACAACACTTATACTCTCATGGCACCTTTTCTCTTTCATAGCACTGACCAAAATGTACAACAAATAATCACAAAAATCTATAGATAACCATAATCACAAAATAGCAGTATATTTCTTACTAGAGTAAAAACTCCATGAGGGCAAGAACCATATTTATTTGTACTCACCACTGTGACTCCCATTCCACCAAGCACAAAACCTGCTATCCAGTGGACACTTAAAAAAAAAAAACAAAAAACAAACAAACAAAAAAACCCAACAACAACAAAACAACACAGCCATTTGATTAGGGAATGAATAAAAAATGCTATTTTACCATCAATCATGGGATTTGCTAAAAATTCAGACACGCTGTTACCGTTCATTCTCTCATTTCTAGGTTGCATCACCCACAGACACAAGCAATTTTGACAGTTTCCCTGAGGACAGTGACGAACCACCACCCGATGACAACTCAGGATGGGACATAGACTTCTAATGTCATTTCTCTTACCTGCTTCTGCCTTGCTGAAGACAGCTTTTTCTGAGACACAGCTGCCAGCAAACCTGAGGGAAAGAGAGAAGATTCGTGCTCGGGGTCACCATGATGCCTTTGATCGATGCTGCTCCAGTAACTACAGTGGCATTAGGACTTATTGCTTAGACGACAGTAGTGCTCTTTACATGTTTTCTGTTTGAACCTAAAAATAGCAGTTGACATGGTGGTCCTGAAGCAAAAGCCTCTCACCAGTAAAAGGATGTTTTCTATTGTTGCAATGATCTTGCTTCGCTCTGATTCTAATTTGAAAGACAGTAAGAAACACTTCAATCTAGTCAGAGAGTCTGTACCTTGCTAGAATTATCAAGAAGATTAAAAAAATAATAATAATATATAGGGTACGATAGATTTCTATGGTACAAAAACTGGGCTCTTCCCTTTCTTCAAGTGAGGGTTGTAGGATCTATTACCGCAGGCCGGTGTATATAACGTACAAACGAGGACCACGCATCTGTTGGTCACAGAGTTCATGTCAAACCAGTGCTAGAAGTTCATGATTTCATTTCTCAGCAGTGCTGATGACAAGACTGAATGTTACCTTTCCTTTCTGACAGATTTCAAAAATTGACATGTTAAAAGCACAACTGCTATGGATTCTGCTGAGAACTCTCATAGCAGGTATATATGCGTTTTTCACAGAGGAATTGAAATAAAGCATGCATGAATTCGTTTGTTTTTGATAAATTGGCATGACAGAGTGGGGAAAAAAGCAATTCACAACCATTTCATATTTTTTGAAAATATTGTGTTTAAAGATGGTCCTGGAAATAAGTGACTAGCAGCCAATTGGTTTTTATTTATTACCTAACACACCCTCAAACTGAGGCTTAAAATATTCCCTTTTATAAAAATAAACCCTAGGGGTCAGGGTGGGGTGGGATGGAGAGGGATCAAGATTCATCCAAAAAAAATAAAAATAAAAAACTATATAGGTGCTATGTATATCTTTCATCTGTAAATGTCAGTGTCTGAACAGACAACACAAATTCTAATCATTACATGTGTAGCCAGAGACTCAAGCATTTCCACCAAATTTATCAAACCAAACTCCTGTCAGATTTTACTTATACAACATAGACTGGGTTGAGGGAGAAAGGTGATTAAAAACTGTTTGAACTAGCTTCTTGTCTTAGGCCTGAACCCCTTCTCCCCCCTCTGAAAAAAAGGAAGAAAGCAAAAATCATTGAGATTTGTCTCTTCGCCAGATGAGAAACCTTCCTTATGTGAGGTCGGAAAACAAGACAAGAACTTGGCCATATATTGATAACCTTTTCATGAATTAGCTGATATGAGTCCGTGTGAAAGTAGGAAGGAAGTAGAGAGGAAAACAATAAGGTGAGCTAAATAGAACAAAAATATTACAACCCTGAAATATCATACTCCCTAGAAAGGGTTGGATTTGAAAATATCACACTGATTTTGCTTTTTTCACATGGGGAAAAGGATCAACAGTTTAAACTGAGCCTTTGTTGGCAGGCCAGTTGACTATTAATAGTCATAAGCAACAGAACCACTGGGAAGCTTTACCTAGACAAATAGCATTGTATCTAGCATTCTATCTACTCAGACAAGTGCATAACTTACAAGTTGTCATCCTGATTTGGAACTGTGTGTGAATTTGGTATATTACATAGGGGTTTGCATTTTTCCAGTAGAGAGTTTTTTTTAAAAAGTCAAACAAGTGTAGACATTTCTGAAAAAAATATATGTCCACCTAGAATCTCCGTGGTCGGCAAACTGCGGCTCGCGAGCCACATGCGGCTCTTTGGCCCCTTGAATGTGGCTCTTCCTACACCTTAGGAGTACCCTAATTAAGTTAATAACAATGTACCTACCTATATAGTTTAAGTTTTAAAAATTTGGCTCTCAAAAGAAATTTCAATCGTTGTACTGTTGATATTTGGCTCTGTTGACTAATGAGTTTGCCAACCACTGACCTAGATCATTACACTGTATCCAAGAAGGCATATGTTATTATTTTGGTTTGAATTGTCCATACTAAGACTACTTTAGAGTATATCTTATCAAAATATAATAATCTAAGAAACATTTGGAGAATAAAAATAGTAAAGGCATATTATTACAATTAGAATAAAATTAAATTAAAACTTTTATTCTAAGATGTTATTTTTGTGTTATTGAATTTTTCTCTCCCTCACAATTTCTCAAAATTGATCTAGTCCCCAAAATATCCACTTCCTTCTACAGATTTTAGAATATAAAATTAAACACACCCATCTAAAGTCCAGCTACAAATGCTGATTTAGAAGTTTTATATTACTTTTAAAATATACAATTTTGACATTATGGTTAACGTTCAGTGATTTTTGTTAAAAGATAGAGTGGGCTAGGCATGCTAGATTATCAACTTTACCTAGTATTTAAGTAAAATAATCTGCTCCTGCAACTTTTCAAATATCTCAATCGCCCCAGAGATTAGCATTTACTATGGATTTTGGAACTGTGGTTCAAGTCTAAGACAACCAATATGTGCAAGTTCTATAGAAGGAAGCAGTAGTATTCAGCATAATGTACCTGTAGGTCATTTCTCCACCTGTTTTTGCATCTTTGTTCATTTCATCGATGGAATTGCATTAGGATGCCTAAAGCAATCACCCAGAAATTAAAGTGAACTACATCATCCAAGAATTACTAACAGAGAACATTCATTTAATTTTCAACATTGAATTTTAAGGATTTAAATCTTGTCTCAGTGAAGACACTAGGGCTAAAATTCATGGTCAGCTTCATAAAGTGTGTCTCGCTTTACTTCTCATTTTTTCATGCCCTCTCTGTTTTCCCACACTAAAGAACATCTGGGTAAGTTAGAATAGTGACAACCTGTTTGATTTGTTAACTGACTTTCTTGTTAATACTTCAAGTATGGGAAATAAGGGCTTTCTGTGTATCTTGACTTACAGGAAAACTGAAAACTGCCAAGGAAAGGAACAACATAATAGTGTATATCAGATAAAGTAACATTATAAAAATGATATCTGAAAAATTGCTATAAATGATTTTTTACATTTGTACCTTCTTTGTTATTAATATATGAATCAGATTCATGTGGCATTTAAAACATTTATGTTTATTATATTCTTTACAAGTCCTAATTTTAACTTAAAATTATGGGATATGCGTGTGAACTACACATGTATAATATATAAATTTAACTATTAAATTTTCCTTGTTTCATTTCTAAATGACTACACTCATGATAAACTTAAATTGAAGGAAGTCAGCTACCATATTGAAATTAAGGCTATTGGAACTGATTTCATGCAATAGAGGTGATCTGTGCATTATCCTTAACAATGTTTTCTTTCACAATAGGACCACAGACAAATATTTATGTAAATAGGTATTTTTGTGTGATATTTTGTGGTACACATAACTTTTTTTAGTGTTTCACAGCATTATTATTTCATTTTATTTGTATTGAATAATGTTTTTAGGTCTAAGTAGACTTGAATTAATGTCATAATTGTCAGTATTATTGAAAATTATGTCAACTGTACTGTTACTCATCTGTCCCATAGTTTAGACCACAACCTGGCTATCTGGCATTGTTGCAAGTGCCTTAAATTCATGGCATCCTATTTTAAAAAGAACAAATTTGGTGTTATGCTGCATGACAAAGACAAACACACCTCAAAATGTTGTCCTTTCTTAGCTTGCTGCGTTTTACAGTTCTTTCTGCTAACAATTTATAAGCCTTTATTATATAATATTGATGAATTACAGAAATGATGAAGTTGTTCTCTAATTTCTGTTAAATGTACCAGAGCTGTGTATCTGTTCATGAGATACAGCGTCATTTCTGTGAAATGTATAAATGTATGTGCAGGTCAAATTAATATATGACATACTATCAGTCTGTACACAGGTATTCCTGTTTTGCTAAGCTGTGCAGATTCAGTTTAGAAGATTAGTACTACCAAGTTCTAGTGTATTTTATAGACTCCATTAACAAAGGTCCAACTCAAAAGAAAAACTCGAAAATGACTGCTCACCAAACCTCGTTATGAAACCAATGATGAAAAAGTACCTTGGTGCACCACTCAACAAAACAGGATGCTTTCTCTGAGTTCTTGTATATGCAAATCATTTATGAGGCAAGTTTTCAACAGTCCTAGAAAGCTGAACATTGGCAGTGTGTTGTTAGCCCTCCTCTCTATAGGCCCCTGCGTCAACAGAGAGCTCTGGGACCTTAGCAATGACTCAGAGGTTTGGGCTTTTCCAGTAGAGGGACATTTCTTTGAGCTTCATCTATCAAATTTATTTCAATGTATGATGTTTTTACAACTGGTCAGTTCTTTTGTACTCTTACAGCTATGGTTACTTGATTGCCCTTTTACAATTTGTTCTACATGAAAGAGTTCTTTGTTAGTCAGAATGCAACAACTGTCATCAAATGGTCATTGACCACTTGCACTCTTTTGATGTAGATTAAAACTTTTTCATAAACTTAACCTGCTTTGATTTGCTCTGTATTTTTCCTGCAGCTGTAATTGCCGAGTGCCTGTTGTATACTTTATAGAGTTGAAATAAAAAAATAATTACTTTTGAACTTAGTTGATGTTTAATTCCAGACAAGACTCCAAGAATTGATATATGTATCATACTAAAATGGAAATACTGTATAGGACTAGTGAAGAATGTCACTACAGCAATGTAGAAAATACTTAAAACCAGGCGCCCTACATGAAATAAAACCAAAGACCTTGTATGCATATATGCATAACCCATGGACACAGACTATAGGGTGGTGAAGGCCTGGGGTGGGAGGTGAAGGTGGACTAGAAGGGTCCAATGGGGGGGAAAAGGAGGACACATGTAATACTTTCAACAATAACGATTTTAGAAAATAATGCATTATGAGCTAATATAAAATGAATCCAACAAAAAGAGCCCAAATAGCCACAGCAATCTTGATAAAAAAGATGAAAGTTTGAACTATCACACTACCTGACACCAAACTATACTACAATATTATAGTAATCAAAACAGTATGGTGCTGGCATATTAACAGACACATAGATCAATGAAACAGGGAGCCCAGAAATAAACCCATGTTTATGTGCCAATTAATCTATGACAAAGAAGGCAAGAATATGCCAAGTGGTAAAGACAGTCTCTTCAATAAATAGTGCTGGGGAAGCTGAACAGATCCATGCAAAAAGAAACGAAATTAGACCACTTTCTTATACTATACAAAAATAATCTCAGAATGGCTTAAAGACTTAAATATATGAACTGAAACCATAAAGCTCCTGGAAAGAAACGTAAGCAATAAACTCTTTAATATTATCTTAGCAATTTTTTTTTGGTTATGACTCCTAAGGCAAAGACAACAAAAACAAAACTAAACAAATAGGACTACATTGAAGCTTTTGCATCCCAAAGGAAACCATCAACAAAGCAAAAAGACAACTTACTGAATGGTAGAAGAATTTGCAAATCAGATATCTGGTAAGGGATTAATATCCAAAATAAATAAAGAACTCAGACAATTCAACATAAAAAAACAACGATCTGATTTTTTTAAAAAAATGGGCAGAATACCTGAATATATATTTCTCCAAAGAGGACATACAGATGGCCAATAGACATAGGAAACGATGCTTAGCATCACTAGTCATCCGAGAATTGCCCCACCTGTCAA